GGGGCCGAGGAGGGGGAGGGAGGGAGCCCGGCGGGGCGAGGGGGCTGGTCCGCAGCTGGGGGTGAGGGTCACATCCCTCTGCCCCCCTGTCTGCCCGGCGACACCGCGCCCGTGTAAAACAGCCTCTTGGGTCGTTGGTAACGGGAGGGGGGAGGGGGGGGGAGCAGTGGCTTAAGGAAATTCATTAAAGAACACCTTTGGGTAACATTACTGCTAATTATTTAATTGCAAGAATCCCTATGGGGGAAATTATGCTAATTATAAAGTAATAAAACCGCTTGTTCCAAAGCACTTAATTCAGCAAAATTTAGTCTTCTTTTTCACCAGAACATGCCGAAAGAGACAAGGGGAGTAGCTGTGTGTCCCCCCCGCCCGCCCTCAGGGCCGGGGGGGCTGGTGGTGGCACTGGGGATGGCCATCCCTGCAGGACGGGCAGGTGCCATGTGGGGCTCTCGCCTCCTCACCGAGGTGACAAGCCCAGCAGCAGCCCCAAAACGGGGCAGAATTCACTGCCACAAAGCACTGGTGTAACCCTGCTTGTGCAGATCACTGCAAACACCCTGTTTGCCAAGCTTTATTGTGTGCAGTCAGCGTGGAAGTGCATCCCATTACCTGTCAGGTGTGGTGTGGCTGAACCCAGCTTTGAGAGATGGCCTTTTGCCACCCAGCTCCCTCCACTGACAGCACTCTGCCCCGTGGAGGTGTTTCTGTACCATACTTTGTTCCATACATGCCCAAGAGCCGGCCAGGCCACCCTTTTAATTGCCCTTGCAGCCTGGGATATTAAATGGCGTTGCCATTAACGAATCCAAGTTCTATCTTGCTCCCCTGCTCTTCAGGAGGTCACAGGCTCTGGCTCTTTGTGTTCTTCTGAGCGCTGCCACCACTCACCCTGTCAGCCTGTCACCGAGTGACTGGACTCGCCGTGTCAAAGCTGCCGAGACATCTTTCTGAGATCTGTAAATATTGGCTTAAACCTTCTGTTAGCAGGTTCTGGAGCTGGGCTTCACGGAGGGTAGCTTTGGGGAAGGAGCCTGCAATTTGCCAGTTTTTTCCTCGCAGCTCCAGCAGCCAGGCTCTGCTCGTACGCTGCGTCCCACAGCAGCGTATCCGGTGCCGTACGTGGTCACTGCAGCTTTTTCTCTTGCCTTTATCTAAATCTGTGTCATCTCTCTCCCCACACAGGAGCGTGTCATGCCCCCC